TATGGACACTACCTTCTTCATGTAGTAAAATTTGTAAACCTAAAATGCTGATCATTTAAATTAAGGCTTGATAAATATCCCTTCCCCATCCACCTTCACCCAAACATGCATGGTGAGTAACTAGGCCAAAACTAACATAATTAATTAGACCACACCCCTTGGCCTAAATGTTGGGTGCTGAATTTATGGTACCAAATTCATGTTGAATACGGGCAAAGGAGAAACAAAGGAGTGGTTGTTTATTTAAAATGTGGTCATATAAAAATTGATCAAATTATGAAATTTTAAGGGATTTAAAAAATTGTTTATTTTTGTTTGTCATCTCATATACCCTTCCCCACCTCTCCCTCCCTCCATTAGTCCCCCTCTCTTCTCATCTCTCTCCTTCTGCCCACCCCCCTTATAAACTGCATTACAAAACCATCTCCCAATCTAGCTTACTTTTTACAACGAGTATTCAAAACCCAACCATTAATCTAGACAAAATCATAGAACTGGAATTGTTATAATTGGGTTAGTCGATTTGGATCCATTAGGTAGACCCAGACCTGTTCATGGGTCGGGCCGGGCTTTGTATATGTATCAACAGAATACACTCAGGCCCGAACCCGAGCTTGACCCTCATATAAAGCCCAAAGCTTGTGCCCGAGCGCGACCATATTTTTTTTTCTTTTTTTATTCAATAAAAAGGTGTTTTATTTATATAAAAAACCTTCAAAACTCAAAAATATTAAACATCTAACTATTATTTGAAAAAAGAAGAGAAGAAGAAGAAAGAAAAAATATATATTTATTAAATAAAATATATTTTTATTATTTAATATGTGGTATAAAGTCGGGCTCGAGCTCAGGTCGGGCATTTTTGAGAAAGCCTGAGCTCAACCCGAAAAAAGTCGGGCCCTGTGCTTTAGGCCCGAGCCCGAGCCCATGGGCTTAAAATTATGACCAAGCCTGACTTAATAATGGGCCAAGCAGGGCCAGTCCCTCGAGCTACCCGACCCATGAACAGGTCTAGGTAGACCCAACCCATTGATAACCCTAATCTAGTTACCTTTTTGCTAGTAAGTATAGTTTGTTAGTAAATTATTCCTTCCTAACTAAATAAATAATTGAAAAATAAAATAAAAAAGCAAAAAAGTACGGACATGCCCAATACAGATTTATGATTTCTACTACAGAGTTATAAACATTCAAGATGTCAAAAACCCTCACTCTATACACCAATGCTTGCACATGAATTGGCATCAATTCCGAGCTAGCAACCTGAAATGTACTTTACGACTAAAAATTATGAACCTAGGCTGAACCATCATTCTCCCAATAAAAAATTAATAAATAAAAATAAATAATATATTTTTATTTTATTAAATAAATAAATGCTTAGATAATTTTTTATTAAATTGAATAAAATAAATAAATAAAAGTTTATTGTACTGCCAAAGGAATATTGTTTTTCTTTTAACTTCGCTCTTCAACTTGGACGTTTGGATTAAAAATTTATAAATTATTGGGTTTTTTACAAAAAACACAAAAAAATCAAATACGTTTAGAATATATTACAAAAAAGTGGTAACAACAAAAAGTTTCTTAATTCCCCTCTCTCTTCCAAGTTCCAATCCTTACAAAAGCCCTAACACAGGAAACTCGAAACCCTTTTCCTTCTCCTGTTCAACCGAACCATATCCGCCCCATTTCCACCATTGTTGCCGACTCGCCACCAGCTGCTACAATCTCCCTTTCATCTTCCCATTCATACTCTTTGAAACAGAAAAACCCTAACCCCTTTATATCATCTTTGGAATCTAATCTATGGTTCAACTGTGAACACTGAAGGTAACTGAAGGTAATCTATGGTTCAACTATGGTATTTTTCTGCGCAGGTCACTCAAGGGAAGAGGAAACATCAAGAAATTTTTGTTTGCTTGGGTTTTTTCTAGCAGAGAATATCAGGTCTATATCGAACTGACTGAAACATCTCGGACCCATCATAACAATCTTCCTGATTCTAATCTGGTAAAATTAAATCAATGTTCTCCTCTAAGTTTTCTATTCTTTCTTCAATATATTATATATATTATATATGATGCATGAAAAGCTTAGACACTTAAATGGTTGCTTCATCTTGGTTGTTTTCAATAGGTGKTATCTGATTGGTTACCCCAAGTAATAATGCCAAGAAATAATCGACTTCTTCTATTTTATTTTGTAATTTGATTAGGAAATCTGCAAACAATTTGGCCGATGGTTTAGCTAAACAAGGAATTCAGAGACAATCCATGTTTTGGACTGTTTTGAAATTATTGGGATAGTTTTTAGGCCTGTTGTTTCTGCCCACAACCTCTTGTTGTATAACTTCTTATTTTAATGAATCAACCTTGTGTTGCTGATCAGAAAACAAAAAAAAAAAAAAATGGAGTCATATCCCTGTTTTCTATATCCGTGTTCATATCTTGTCATCATACAAACTATTTGGTGAGTTTTCTTATTGTAGGGATTATATATGAATTTACMAAAAAAGAAATTTATACTTACCCATATAAGGACAGTGTATGTCTTATTGTAGAGATTATATATGCAACAGGCATATGCTCACCTGTTTGATGTGTGGTTTGAACGGGAAAGAAGTCTAGTTGGCCTTATCAGGCCACCATGTGGATGAATCATTTGCTCAATCCAAATGATCTATCAGATGGAACATCTTCTAAATTTAGTATCTGTTCAGCTTGCAGTCCATATCGGGTGTAAGATGGAGAAAATCGATGCGTGTAAAAATGGCTGTATGCTTTTTTGGGGTGATGATGTGGAAAAGGACATGTGTGATAAGTGTGGTGAATCGAGATGGAAGAGTGACAATAATTGTGAATTAGACGATTGTGATCAGGATGCTACCCTTTCAAAGAAGAAAAGGCCTGTGAAGGTGTTACGGTACTTACCTTTCATCCCGAGATTACAACGACTATTCATGTCAAGTAAGACTTCCCAGAGTATGACATGGCATGAGGATGGAAGGACAAAATATGGAATGCTTCGCCATCCAGCTGACGGAGATGCTTGGATAGATTTCAATCAAAGGTATCCAGACTTTGCAGTTGATAAGATGAATATACGATTGACATTAGCAACTGATGCCAGTGGAGATATTTTCTTTGCAGCCATGTTTAGAAAGTACCAATAAGCAAAGGTACCATGGAGCATCATTAGTTTGCAGCATTGAAGTGTTAGGAGATTAAGGAACAAGGACATTCTTTTAAGATAGTTATCAATCATCTAAGCCTTCCAGAATTAAAATATATGAATAGAGATCTGGACTAAAAGAAATGCTTGGATTTTTGACAATAGCACCAGCGTGGAAGAATCTCTTGCTAAAATCCTTTAGGGAAAATGTATTCATTGGTGGGGGTGCACAGGAGTTAAAAGGGAACTCCTTAATAATGATTTTTTGACATGGATACAT